AACCCTAAACCCTAAACCGAACACACGCTCTAGTCAAGGCAACAATCTTCAGTTCAGGGCCATAACACTTAAGAGTAGGGTTTTGGGGTTATTTTGTCGTACAGCGAAAACAAGCGACCCTAAGGAATAGCATGGATAATAATTCAGACTGAATGCAAGCTCTACTGTATACCCAATCAAGCGCATAGTATAAGGCCACGGTCCGTCGTAAACAGAAAAAGTGTTGGTTGGTGTCATTTTGTCGCATAGTGAGAACAAGCCACCGTAGGCAAAAATGTCGGTTATTATTCAGACTTCTACCCGGGAAACGATGCCCTGAAAGCACCCAACACAACATCCCAAGTCTCCTGCCTGCACGTTCCCGCGCCGGCAGCCGTGGATTCCTTGCCACATCGCCTGGGCAGACCCGACATTCGTCCAGCAACCTTCAGGTTGGTCACATCCTTTCTGAATCTCTTTTGGCCCCGAAGTTTCGATGTCTGCAAACCGACAACATTGCGGGTTCATGTGCGTGTTCGTCAAATGGTATGCGGGAGCCTAGAATGCATCCTCTATCTCACGGAATTAAAAAAAACTTTGGCGGCGATCGCATCTCTCTCAATCCCGCCCTCCCGCGCTCCGACTCACCAACGTGATACTCTACACGATACCCTGCTGGCCTCGGGTTTGCTGGTCCCCCACGGCCACTCAGAACGGGGACAGCTTAGATAGCTGCGCCTGCTGCAAGTTTGAGCACGGGCTTGCTGAGGACTGCAATCATGACGCCGCACGAAGCGACATGCACAGTGCGCGCAAAACACTCGTTACAGCTTAGCATCTGGTGACCGCGTTCGGTCTACCAGGCGGCTGGACGCAAGACGACCGGCCATCTCCACACAGACCCTGATCTCTTTAAGTCATGTTTGTCCTCGGCGCGCATGCTCGCCTGTGAATTCATGCTCAGTCCACGGCACTTGCGCCATCAGGATTTGATGAGCTCACCGAGTTTGGTGCAAGGGGAGCAGAGTTACAGTGTGCCAGTTCAGCATAGCACAAGAATGCGTAGCTTCCGGTCCCAAGACCTCACAGGACCCAGCTACGGCTGAATGGCTCGTGTCTGCGACTTGCGCAAGAAATCGACACAACAACTTAGGAAATTGCTTGGAGTCCTCGGAGTGCCAGCAGCATCAGTATCCTCGAGGTTGTCTGGTGACCGTGCGAAAGCTGGGTCAGCGACAAGGACAAGCCCACGCTCCCTGTCACGTTGATCATCAACGGTGACTGGCGCATAGGTCTCCACCTTGCCCTCCTTTCTCGAGCAATAGCTGCAGACCTCCTTCATGTCGAATAGCGCAAAAGGTATGGTCAGCAGGATGTCGAAGATCACGAAGGGGTTTCTGTAAACGGTCAATGTGAAATGGACTTTTAAAAGTAGCTGGGGAAGGTCCTCCAGGATCACGCGCACGGAGGTGAGGAAGATCCCGACTCTCTCCAAGGCCATGGGATCAAGCAACTTCCACGGAGGCGTTAGGACCAGGCACAGAAAAGCATAGCCCAGCTTTTGAGGACCCTTTACAGTAAAGCTAATGTACATGGCTCCGCCGACGTTCTGCAAAAGAACAGTCAGGATTGCAAGAAAAAAGCCATACCATGCATACTGGTAGCCGCAGGTGCGCATGACCAGGAAGGAGATGAAATCAAGATACAAATCTGCGATCCCTTTGTGGATCCAGGCCAAGGCTATTTCCAAGCGCCTCAGAGGAGGGTGCGGTTCTGCATCCCACGCGCGGAGCCCATCAGATAAATAGCTCTTCAGGAACTTTGGCACCAGAAGCAGAGGGGTCTCTGCCACCTTCTGCAACTGTTTTGAGAGTGCCAGTGCCCAAATGGAACATGTCGTAGCAGCCAAGACGGCTGTGAGAAGATGGAACTCCCATGCAACTCCATCGGAGCATGATGTAACCTGAAAATCAGGTCCAAACGAATTCTGGGTGAACTCAGCAAAATTCGAAATCAAGTAGACTGGGACGACGCTCCACGGCAGGGCAAGGCCGGGAATGATCAGTGCTGGCCAGAGGTCTCCTGCCTTTGCTAACGGCAGCAGCCAGCCGTGTGAGTAGCAAACTGATGCGAAGGCCACCGCAAACACCAAGAAGAGCCAGTGCGCCCTAGGACTGCCTGATGCGTGTGCCGCCATGCTTGAAACGGCGATAGTCAACAGCAAGGTGCCAAAGTGCACTTTCCGCATTGGGACTGACACGCCCAAGGGCAAGTGGCTGATTTGCGCGTGCTTCAATTTAAGCTTCTTCTCTTGGATCTGTGCCGAAATTGCTTTCGAGCCAGCATTGTCCACAGTGATCAGGGCCAGCTGCTCGGCAGTCGATTCAATCTCTCTGGGCATGCTGACAAAGCAGTTTTCAGAGTCTTCGGCTTGGAGGATTTTGACCCCCGCATGCTCGTGTTCACGTAGCCGAGTGCAGCTTCGAAGCTGTTGACCTAAATCCAGGGTGTCGGCTTGCTGCGCCAACGATTGGAGCCTCGGCCTTGGCACTTGGATCACGCGGTTATTCCAAGAATCCACGATGTAGGCGTTGCCGTCGGAAAAAGCCAGACCTGGTTGCGCACATGGATCTTCACGGCACCTAAACAACAAAACGTGTACGCCAAGCGCTGCTTCTGCAGAGCAGCCGCCCGTCCAAGCTTATCAAACCAACATGCGCAAGGCGGAGGTGAATTGAGACCGTTCTCTTCCACGCCTTTCATGATTGCCGGGGCTCTGGGGTTGGCTGTCCAAAACTCGGGTAAGGTCAGGCCACGTGGGCCACAAACTGCACAATCTGGGGGCTTTCTTGGATTTGGGAAGCTCGATGTCCGCAAGAGCCCCCCCTGAAGCCCAGAGCTTCTACAAGGCTTTCGGGTGTCCCATGCTGCCAGGCGGCCTCTCGGATTGTTCAGCTGGTCCAGGTCGGAGCCGGAGCCTTTGCCGCCGAAGAAGATCTCGGCCTCGGAGTTGCCGGGACTCACCTTCAGGATCCGGTCGTTGCCCGAGTCCCCGATGTAGGCAGTTTCCTCGAAGAAGGCGATGCCTGAGGTCTGGCCGGGGGAGGGCATCGGAGGGGCTTCGCCGAGAGGGCCTCGAGCTCCAAGGACAAGGTGAAAAGCAGGGCTCAAGGAAGCTGAGGGCCAAAGAGCGTTCCGAAGCAACGGTGCCGGTTGCCTCTAGTCCCGTTTGCAAGTCGGTTGTTCCCTGCATTGCTTTTGCTACAGCTGAAGCTTTCGGGGCATGTCTCAGGTCTTCAACTCCAGGCGCTCCGCTTATGCCCCTGAGGCACGGCCCACATGCGCACATGACCTGCCAACCTGTGTGATAAAGAGCCCATGACTTTCCAACTTGTTTGACAAAGCCGGCGCGCCACTCGAAGCTCATCCCGCCAACAGGTGCAAGACGGACACTCGACAACCGCAGAATGACCGAGAACGTCTTTGGAATCGGTCCCATGAGAATCTGACATGAAATCAGCTGGTCTGGGCAACACTTGCTCAGCTAGGTTCTGCAGTCTTACATGCATCTCTGGCATTGCGAATCAACCTTGCAAGGTAAGAAAGTGCAGGCCCGTCTTCTTCGGGCACGAAACTGACCAGTCCATAAAGTAAAAGCATTCGGCCATACGCCCCGCGAGGCATGCTACTGCTTCGGCCATACGAGGGAATAACCACGCTCGCAGGCTGGCGCCCCCCCTCCCGCACCCCGAAGTTTGGCACATCAGGCCCTCCAGAAACCATTCGCGAATGTCTACAACCTCGAAGTTTGGTCTCCGCAGGTGTTCTGTTAGGTCAGGAGTCTCGCCGCCACAAGACCGCTACAAGAGCCTCCTCTGAAGCCCAACGTGTAAGCTTCTACAAGGCTTTCGGGTGCAAAAACCCCTGCAAGACAACCCAATGCTGCCAGGCGGCCTGTTGGAAAGCTAAGCTGGTCCAGGTCGGAGCCGAAGCCTTTGCCACCGAAGAAGACCACAGCCTCGGAGCTGCCCGGACTGAACTTCAGGATCCTGTAGTTGTACCGGTCGGCGATGTAGGCGTCTCCTTTGAAGAAGGCGATGCCTGAGATGTGGCCGGGGGAGGGCATCGGAGGGGCTTCGCCGAGAGGGCCTCGAGCTCCAAGGACAAGGTGAAAAGCAGGGCTCAAGGAAGCTGAGGGCCA